CTTTGTAGTAATTGGGGAAACCAAATACATCCATTAACAAAATGCTGATAAAATTATATCATCAACCTCTATAACCCAGAATTTCAAAGTACTTTTTTATTTTTTTTTATGTATTTATTTCTTAGAACTTGCGAGTGGGGGAAAGGGGCAGAGGGAAAGAGAGAATCTTAAGCAGGGCTCCACATTCTGTGTGGAGCCCAACCTGGGGCTCGATCCCACGTCCCTGGGATCACAACCCAAGCTGAAATTAAAAGTTAGACACTCAACCGACTGAGCCACCCAGGAACCCCAAAGTACTTCTTAATGCCCAGCTGTGATAGCCAAAGCTCCCAGGTTACTAGACGGTAAAAAGCAAGGAAATTGTCTAAAAATAACCTTCAAAGGAGGGAAAAAGCATGAGAGTTTTAGCAATTATGACTGAACAATGTAAAATCCCTGACATTCTAGTTTCTGTTACTTCAGTAAATGTTATTGCGTTAAGTATAAAGCAGAAAAATCCCTGTGCACCTAGCTCACATTCATTATTACCAAGTTTTATTAATTCAGTTTTTACAGTTATACCCTTTGTTGGGGTGCCTGGGTGGCTCAGTCAGTTAAGCGTCTAACTTCGGCTCAGGTCATGATCTCACAGCTCATGAGTTCAAGCCCCGTGTTGGGCTCTGTGCTGACAGCTAAGAGCCTGGAGCCTGCTTTGGATTCTGTCTCTCTCTCTCAAAAATAAAATAAACCTTAAAATTTTTTTTTATACCCTTTGCTTTAAAAGCCTTAAAGGATGAACACAACCAACATAATTAAACCTCAGTTACATTAAAGAACATTCCCACCAAAATCTTTCATACTACAGTCTGTAATGCAGACTCTGAACAGGTTAGTTTTCCAATAAAATAAAAAATGGAATACAGTCTTTTTTTTTTTTTAAACGGAATACAGTCTAATACCAATTTGTCTACTTGAAAGAATAAGCATAAGAACTTCCTTTTTGGAAAATGCATGGTTTTTATCCCCTCTGGCAAATATCCATCTCAGCTACTTTCAATGTATTTTTACACTGCTCACTTACAGGAAATAATTTGCATTCCAAATTTTTAAACTTGCTGTTTCCGCAATCACAACGAAAGTTTCTGAAAAAAATGAGGGAGAGCCAAATTTTAGTTTTCCTTTTAAATCTAATGAATTATTCTTTAAATTTATTGCACAGCCCCTGCCCTTTCAACTCATTTCTAGGGTCTAAAAAGTGACCTTGATTGCTGTTCATATGTCCAATTTGAAATTTCTCCAAGCACAGAATAAAAGATTTAACAGTTTGGGAAATTAACATGCACAGAAATAAATATTTATATCACACATACATATACGCACAAGTAAAATAATGACAAAGAAGGATGACTAGTTTGAGTTTGTGCAATAAGTATATTTGATTTTTTTTAAGTTTTTATTTAAATTCTAGTTAACATATATGGTAAAACTAGTTTCAGGTGTAATAATTATATTAAAAGGCCCTCCAGAAAAACTATTCTAATTATATAAAACAATTATATTAAATTTTACCAGTACACAACTACTTTAAATGGAAAAACAAGAAAAAAGCGCAGGTGGAAAAGAATCTAAACATTTAAAAAGCATCCAGCACCAGTCTCTGTTTTTACCTTTTTGTGTATAGCTCAAATAGTTTATGACTTCCATGACATTCGTAACTGCAAGCGAGGCAAATTCCTGCTGGTTCTTCTCCCTCTGGGGTGCAAGTACTACAGGCATAGAGTGCTTGTCTCTTTACTGAGCCCTAAAAGCCACAAAATGGAAGGAGAATAATCACACAAGAGAGTGCCAAAACACTGTCACATGTTTTATGTCATTATATGTGCACTATGGTAGTGCTCATTTCATACAATTTTTTCTTACAATGATAGTTTAAAATTCTCAGGCAGCTGAAAAGAAGAATCAGCTGGCCTGCACCGACATCTTAACACATGAAAATGTAAGAGAACGTGTACAGGCTTATGTTAGCAATATCACACTTACGATTAAGATCAATGCACTTTATGCAAGAATCCTTTTGATTTTAGGAGATGCATGCTGAAGTATTTAGAGTGGCATGATGTCTGCAATTTATTTTCAAATGGTTCGGGGAGGGGGTCTGGGGAGGTGGGGGGTAGGGGAGATGGGGGGGTCGGAGTGTATTACATAGAGAAGAGAGATAAAAGCAAATGTGGCAAAAAGTGAATATGTGGAAGAGGTACACAGGTGTTCATAAAAGTATTCTTTCAACTTATCTGTAGATTTAAATTTTTTCACAATTAAAAGTTGAAGGAAAAGATCAGCAAAGCTTTTGGAAATCTTGACAATGGTTACCCTCCTCCAGGAAGGAGGGAGGCAGCGAAGCTTCTGGGATGCCATTAATGATCTGGGGGCTACATGCATGCATATGTTCACTTTTTTCCACAAACCATACAAATGATTTGTGCATTTCCCATATATTTTACTAAAGTAAAAAGAAAAAATTTACAAAGTCCAATTTATAAAACTAACCACATTTCAAAAATAGCTTACATACATTTTAAGGAAAGCAGAAAAAAAGTTGTTTTAGTGGTGACCAAAGGTTTTAAAATACCAGCCAACATCTGGGTCTGTCTGTGGATACCAGGTTTTTTCAAAAATCTAACCACTGGGCAGGGTTAAACTCAACTGGTCAAGATGACAACTGGTATTATGAGCTCAGTCCACACCACATAATGACCCCAAGTCTCTCACCTCATCCCCCAATGTTGCCATCCCACCCACCCCCAGCCCTGGGGCTAGGCAACCTCCTTCTTCCTACCAATTCTCATCCCGTGTAAAGTTTTCTTCTACCCACCTTTCTCCATTTTTGTACCTAGAAACATAGGATGAGTCACCAAACACTACAACACACCCCCTCAAATCCTGATTCATAACGTCTTCCAAATGCCAAATATACCCTTCAAGCAAATCCTCTCCCCTCCTCCCTCCTTTACCAGTGCCACCTGCTGTCGTGGTTCCGGTCTATTTCCATGGGGGGCGGACTGCAGATAGACACCATACTTGCTTCGCCTCGCAAAAACAACAACAACAACAACAAAAAACCTACCAGCTTGTACTCGTTAAACTAAATTGCAGAGGATTAGCTGTCAAGGGGCCCAGCTCGGGGAGATTTTCAAATCCAGAGCTCTCTCCTTTAACTCTGCTTCGACTCTCCCATTCGGTTCCAAATAAACACTCTTAGGATGGGAAAAGTAAGGACAAAGATGTCGGGATTTGAGCGGTCAAGGGGATAGTTTCTGAAAAGCAGCCAAGGCGCGGAGAAGAGAAGGAGAGGAAGGAAAGAGCAGGGGTCCCAGGGCCAAAGCCTGGAGAATGCTGAGGGACTAGACGGAGGAAGACCGAGGGAGGAGGGGAGCCCTGCTGAAAACAAGCTGAGAAAGGGAACCAGGAGACTGAGGTTTAAGGGCAGCTGGGCCTGGGATGGGGAAGTCTACGACGAACGGTGGCCTGGGACCACCCCAGGGGAGCCGGGCCGCGACACGCGGGAATGGGGCAAGTCTGGTCGGGAACAGGAGGTTCAGCGGGAGCCCGGGGAAGGCGAGGCCAGGGCCGCGCGCCCACCTGCGAGTAGGAGCACTTCTCGGAGTCGCTGCCGCCCAATACGGCGCACGCTTCATTCTCCAGCTCCTCGTCCTCCTCTAGTACGTCGACCAACGACACCACAGGCTCCAGCTCCGACTGCAGCCCAGCAGACCCCTCCGCCCCAGCCATCCTCAACTGTCAGCGGGTCCGCCGCTCGGCCCGGCGGAGGCGGGAAAAGCGGCTGCGGGAGGCGTGGCCGGAGGAGGAGGGGCCCAGTGCTAAGAACCAATCTCAAGGAAGCGAAGCTAAGGAAGGGGGAGGAGCAACTTCCGACAAACGGAAGTCACTCCTCTCCCTTCTCCCGCCTGCGCCAGGCTGCGCCCACGGCGAGTTGACTTCCGCTTCCGGGTGGCGCCTGCAAGTCGGTGGCTGTTGAAGCTCAGCCATCGCCATGGAGTTGTTGGGCGAGTATGTCGGGCTGGATGGGCAACAGCAGCGGCTGCGGGTGCCCTGTGAGGTGCCGGCCGACGCCGATCCTTACGAGACCCTGTTGTCTGGCGTGGCCCAGATGAGAGACCTGGTGACAGAACTCTTCGGCCCCCTGGTACAGCAGGAAGCGCAAGACCGGGTGGCGGCTCCAGAAGAGGCCTTGGACGGTGAGCCCTGAGAAGGTGCTGGAGCGACAGGAGGGCGGGGCAGGGGAGCCCGGGTAGAGTGGCCGTCTTGGAGCAAGTGAGCCTCGGGGGAAGAAGAATCCCAACTAAAAATTGTCAGTCCTTACCGCCATATTATCTGCGCTCCTTCTGCTTAAGCGTTTGACGACTCTCTTTCCATATGTATCACAAAAAGCGTGCTGAGTGCCGACTGCTCTGTGCCAGGCACTGGGCTGTGCTCTTGAGAAGGAATGAGGTGAATGCCACTCAGTTCCTGGCTTTCTGAAACTCTCAGGCTGGTGGGGGTTAGACAAGCAAATACTTATTAACAGATTGGAAGTGTGACCCCAGGGCCCTCTGTAACTATTGCAAGCTGAGAGGACCCAAGAAGGCTTCAGAGAGCATGGCTTTTGAGCTGGGTGTTGAAGGATGAAAAGGAGTATTACCTTCTTAACGTATTTGTAATTTAACGAAATTACACGAATTTACAGAATTTCATGAAGTTACAAACACGTTAAGAAGACTGTCCTCTGCGATCCAAAAGAATGAAATCTTGCCATTTGCAACAATGTGGATAGAGCTAGAGTGTATTATGCTAAGCAAAATAAGTTAGAGAAAGACAAATATGATTTCACTCATGTAGAATTTAAGAGACAAAACAGATGAACATAAGGAAAGGGAAGCAAAAATAATATAAAAACAGAGAGGGAGATAAACCATAAGAGACTCTTAAATACAGAGAACAAACAGGGTTGCCGGAGGGATGTTAGGTGGGGGGTGGGCTAAATGGGCAAGGGGCACTTGTTGGGATGACCGCTGAATGTTACATGTAAGTGATGAGTCACTAAATTCTATTCGTTAATACACTGTATGTTAACTAACTTGGATTTAAATTTTTTAAAAATAAGTAATTAATTTTAGAATTAATTTCAGAGTAAGTTCTGAAGATTTCAGTTTAAGGAGTCTTAACTCCCAGGGACTCCTTTCCATATGCCAACTTAGAAGGTGCAGTTTGAAAGGAGAAATGTGAAATTTAAGTCTTGTCTTGAATACGAAAAGAGGTAGGTACCTTTTTTGCCTGGAGCTGAAGGGCCAAAGAATTAAATATTGGAGTCAGGACTTAACTCCTCTCTAAAGGGACTTACACTGTACTGTACTTTCCATCTTTTGTATTATGTGAAGGAGCCAGTTCAGAACATTACACTGAGTTCAGACAATAGACTGGTTCCATGGATATATTAATTGGGAGTACCAATGTATTGAGAATGAAGTCCTGTTTCTTGGCTCCAGAAGTACTTCTGTAATCTCTTGAAAACGTTATCATTGGCGTAAGGATGAGTATAGCTAGAGCCATTTCTTAAAATATCATTACTTGTTGAGAAAATAACTGCCACCTGTTAATGGAAGGTCAGTAGTATATTTGTATCAGAAGACATGTTTTTTGTTTAATGAAGACCCCATAAATCTTAGGTTTTATTTTGTTAAAAGTAATTGAGATTGACATGGCACATATTGTGTTCTGTGAATTTGATCTCAACAAATATACAAAACTTTAAAATTGTACCAGTTACTAAAGAAAAGCGATAGAACTCAGTACTAAAAAGTACTCAGTACTAAAATTGGCTTACAAACAATCCAGTTACCAGATGTGAAAGGATTTGAATAGGCAGTTCTTTAAATAAGATATATAAATGGCCAATAAGCTCGTGAAAAGATGTTTAGCATCACTGGCCATCAGGGAAATCCTAGTGAACCCCAAGGAAACACCACTTCGCGCTCACTAGGACGACTGTAATCAAAAAGAACAATAACAGGTGTTGGCTAGGATGTGAAGAAATTGGAGTCCTCAGACATTGCGGGTGGAAATATGAAAGGATACACCTTCTTTGGAAAATGGTTTGGCAGTTCTTCAGGAAGTTAAAGTTACCTTATAACCCAGTAATTCCACTCCTAGGAACTCCTAGTTCCACTCCTACTTCTCCAAAGAGAACTGGAAACCTATGTTCACATAAAAACTTATATATGAATATTCATAGCAGCATTATTATAATAACGAGAAAGTGGAAACGACACCATGTCTGTCAGCTGATGAGGCGATAAACAAAATGTGGTGTCTCCATCGATGGAGTAGTAGTCAACACTAAAAAGGAATGAAGCACCGGTAAATGGCTATAGCGTGAATGAACCTCAAAAACATGTGAAGTGAAAGCAGGCAGACAGAAAAGGTCACATATTTTAGGATTCCATTTATATGAAATGTCCAGAACAGACAAATCTATGGAGATAGAAAGTAGATTAGAGGTTGCCAAGGGCTAAGGGGAGTGAGAATTGGTTGTTGGTGTGCGATTTCTCAGATGATGAATGTGTTCTAGAATTAAATGTCGGTGACAGTTGCTCAACCTAGGGAGTATACTACAAATCAATAAATTGTACACTTTAGAAGAGTGAATGTTATATGGTGTATAGATTATATCTCCAAAAAAAGTGGCAGATAAGAAAGATTTTAAACACCAAAATTCCTGAAATCTTTTTAACCATACATACTTTGAATCCAACGTATGCATAACTTAATTAATACTTCAAGTGAAATGGTCTCGGTATCAACCATTTTAGCAATCTCTTTCTTTGAACCACTGAACATATTGTCACACAACAAATATTTATTTTAAAAGGTGATGATGAAGATGATGCAGAAGATGAAAATAACACTGATAACAGAACTAACTCAGATGGACCATCTGCAAAACGGCCCAAACCACCATCTTAAGAATAGCTTTTATGAAATTTAAAAGACTGCTACTATATCTGAATTATCACATGCTGACATTTAGGAAAGACTGGTGCTCTAATTTGGAAAAGCATTTGTTTTATTCCCCTAGGACAATTTGTCAAAGAAAAAAATGTACCTTGTTTCCACCAAAGAAAGATATAATAAATGTTTAGAAATGAATCTGTTTTCTTGAGTGAGAAATAAATTTGATACTGTGGAAATAACTAGAACACTCAATGCTATATAAAATCCTCTAAGTTGGCAACTGAATGTTCAGTTTTCTACTTTTTAAATAACCATTGAATTAAGTTGTGTGATGTCTACATCTTGTGGCTTCTGCTTGTTATAAAAAGTACACATCATAGTCCCGCACAATAACATTTCAAAGAAGATGTAAGTGGAGAAAATCGGATATTAGATTTAAGAATGGCAGATCTGTGTAAGAAGAAGGAAAATGGGAATAGAAATACTGAAGAGGGAGATGAGCCCGGAGAGAGACCCAAGGAAACCTGGAGTCCATACTTAACACCCAGTATATAGACATCCAGAGATGATACCACTCAATGAATATATACATTTAACTTGTAACTTAAGAGAACGAAGTTGGGCGTGCTTTTATGCTGTAGCATGTTACGTATATAAACACAAATGTAAGTCTTAAACAATCTATGTTGACTTTAACTTAAGGTATGTCTCATCCTGTATCCATGCTTTGATTTTGCTTACCCCAAAGGCCTGTTGAATCCTTTAAAATACATATATATTCCTAAAATATGTGTGTGTATTCCTTTTTGGCTTGTTGATGGGACCAAGGCATTTTTTATTTCCTGTGCATGTTTCCTGATTCATTTAGATAGCTAAAATGCAAAGAAATCAAGTAGCATGTATCTAAGGAAATACAAATAGTTATAGAATTTTAGAGTTGGAAGTAACCTTACAGATTATATATGACTTATTTCCAAGATGAATTGAACCTTAGAAGAAGTGTTGCCCTGAATTTGAGCTAAATATTGGCAGAGATGGGTTGTACACATAGCCTTTAACAGATTACCAAAAAACCCCAAAAGCAGATTATCATAGTACTTTCCCAGTTACATATTCTGAAATCTGTAGTTTGCAAAGTACATACAATTAAGGAAACTGAATTTAGATACCTTTTCATGTCTTTTTTTTTTTTT